TTTAAACTGTCATATAATTTTTTTCATCGATAGTCTGTAATTGGAACCATAACTCTTATTTATTCAAATTATATTAATATGTAAAGACCAAGTGTAACATATATCATTGTTAAATCTTATCTTATAAAATCAGTGAAACTTCAAAATCGTTAAAATTCATGGCTCCCGCCGCATTGCGCGGATACACAACTAGTATATATATAATCATATTTTCTGTACATAAATATGAAAACAAATATAGAAGTTATATAAAGACAAAGAAGAGATTTAACTTTTATATATATATATATATATATATATATATATATTAAAAGGGTGGATGGTTTAACGGTCTAATATAATATACATACTAATAAGAGACTTAATAACCATATTAGATGGCTACTAGTTGGGTTGGGTTGGGTTTACCGAGCAACCTGGTTCCACTTTTTGTGCACCTCATCGTACCATTTCAGAGACTCATTAACTTCAGGAAAATGAAGTTTAAATTGGAAAAGCTTGGTTGAACGTTTTTGTAAAGTACAGAGTATCTCCACAGCTATTTCCCCTTTCTAAAAGCTCGGATTCAAGCGTTCTCATGCCCAAAAGTTAAGAGTTTATTAGTAAAACTTAAACATCATCGTATGTAATAAGTTATCCGATAAATGTTAATCGGGAAAAAATATTCATCCACACGTGGTAAGACTCTCGGTCTTTGTCATCACTCTTAACGGATAGATCTTTGCTATATACATCCGGTAAGGTAAGTGACCAATAAATACTTGTCAGGTAAACATTTGGTAAAGAGTCCAAACATCTAAAATTGATAATTTTTTACATCATTTTCATTAAACAATTGGTATAAAGATTAAGGGGTCGTTTACCAAACACTTACCTGGTAAGCGTTTACTGATAAAATTAGACACTATCATTTACTTATCGGGTAAGATTTTAGTCCATCAAAACGGCATCGTATGCAACAATTTACCCGGTAAACGCTAACCATGGTAAGAGTTGTCGCCTTCACATATTGGATAATACTTTTGGTCTTTGCCTCGTTCTTACCGGGTAAGATTCTTGATCTTTATTATATGCATCTCGTAAGGCAACGCGACTTAGTGAGCGCTTACACGGGTAAACATTTAGTAAACGTTTATCCAAATATTCTATTATATTATATCAATAAAAATATTACAATTCCTACATTTTCCCAGAAAAAAAAAAGGTACTAAAATTAGACACTTGTAAGAGCATCTTCAATAGACCGGTAAATCATCAATCGATCATTGGACCCGTGAATCATCAAACTGCAAGCATTTGGTTTGGTTGTTCAAATTCTTTCAAATCGATCAACCAAACCCATGAGCACTCTTATCTTCACTTATCTAATATTCTCGGTCATCAAAATGTATTGTTGGTGAGCGTTTTTAACCTGATAAACGCTTATTAAGTAAGAGTTTTTTTCTCTCACTCTCGTTCCTTATTATGTTTCTTACTGGATAAGATTCTTCGTCTTCGTCATGTTCAATCGATAAGGTAAGAACATCTCCAACAGATTCTTAATAATTTCTCTAAGATAGAGAATCAATATTCAAAATATCTAAAAAATTACATTTTACTCCAGCAAATTCTCTATTTTTAAATTTTCAACATCTGTTGTATTAATAAAATATTCTATAAATTTATCATCTCGATATACTTTAAAAAAAATATATATATATAAAATAATAATAGTTGAACCTATCAAAGGGCCTTTGGCCAAGCAGTGTGTGAGTCATTGACCTCCTATTAGGTGAATGGTTCAAACCTCACCAAAAATGATAAGGGTATGTGAATTTATTTGTTTTATTTACTGTATATAAATATTATATACTTTTAAAAAAATAGGTTTAAATAATAGTTGAACCTGGTTAGTGGGAATGAATATAAAATAATTTATTTCTCCAAATATCAAGTTATAGAGAGTTAAACTTGGAGTTTTCTCTAATTTTTTATTTTATTTTAAAGAACAATATTAGGGTCCATTTGGTTAGCATGATTGTTTTTTAGGGATTTGGATTTCATGGAGAGACATATTATGATTCGTTCATTTAACATGTTAACAAACGA